TGTAACAATTTCAAAAAATATTTGATGATAACGTTTTAACTGCAAATATTTTAGAAACGGTTGAATTTAGGTATATGGTATGTTATATGAAATATGCTTGGAATTTCTTTCTAAAATTTCTAAATATTTTTTTTGGTATAGGAGGTATTACGAATTACATTTTGGAGCAATTAAATTTAAAGATACTATATTAAAATAAAATTGTCAAAAATAACTAATTATAAGTCATATTTGACTAATTGTCATAGCGAAAGAGTAGTCACTAATAATTAGTCAAATTCTACTGAATGAAATAGACAAATTAGTAGATTACAATTTAAAAAAATTCTAACCCAGCCGGGGTTTGAACTCGGGTCTGTCGCTTTTCAAGCGGATGTCGCTTTTCAAGCGGATGTCAAACCATATTTTTTTGGTATAGGAGGTATTACGAATTATATTTTGGAGCAATTAAATTTAAAGATACTATATTAAAATAAAATTGTCAAAAATAACTAATTATAAGTCATATTTGACTAATTGTCATAGCGAAAGAGTAGTCACTAATAATTAGTCAAATTCTACTGAATGAAATAGACAAATTAGTAGATTACAATTTAAAAAAATTCTAACCCAGCCGGGGTTTGAACTCGGGTCTGTCGCTTTTCAAGCGGATGTCAAACCAATGAGCCATCAGTCACTTTTATAAAAATAGTTTTATCTGTCAATAAATATTGTGCATATTTTAAAGTTTAATATATTTTTTGTGTTGCTGTTTTGAGCTAAACTTTTTATATCTTTGTTTGTTTTTAAGGGTCATTTAACCATGGAGCCTATATGCATTTAACTCAAACAATAGTTTGTTGTTGGCCGCAAACGATTGAAGAAATTAGTTACATTTAACTCTCAGAAATAGTCAAAGGAGGTGCCTTATCTTAAATTGGTCAAACTTTAACTATTTAAGTAGTTAAAAATAACTATTTAAGTAGTTAAACATATTTATTTAAAAATGAAAACGACTATTTTATTATAATAACTATAGTTAAAAATGCTGGTAGGTACTAATTCAAATAGTAGAATTTCATATTTCATTTTAAGAGAGTAGGTAGGTACATGTTTTTTTTTCTAAAACCGAGTTAACGTTGTGTTTTATAAGTACTGGACAGAGCTGTTCCGAGTACAACAAAAAAGTACTTGAGTAAAAGTACAAAGTACAAAGAAAATAAAAAAGTACTCAAGAGTAAAGTACAAAGTACTTTTTCTAAAAACTTTTAAAATGTAATTTATGCCAGTATCTAGCAAAAAAAATTGTTAAAAGTTAAACCAAACAAAATATCAGGTTTAGGTCACAATTTATAAAATTAGTAGAAATAAAATACATAAAAAATATTTATTTTAAAAACTAATTAGCTAATAATAAGTTCTGCGCAAACAAAATTTAAATTGATGTTTTCGAAAAAAGTTTAAGTGGTACACTGCAGTTTATTGACAAATTTGAAATTTTTAAAAATACAAATATTACAGATTTTATACCATTTTCAATTTTTATTTCTTTTACTAAAATAAAAAAATTAAAATCGTATAAGATCTGTAATACTTAATTTTTTTTAAATAATAAAATAAAACGATAAACTATAGTAAATAATAAATTGGAGCACTTAAATTTAAATTATCGTTATTGGGGAAGAGGAAAAAATATATACCTTTTTTTAACAATTTAAATTCTTCTTGAGCGAGGATTTATTCCGAATATTGCCGAACCGCTAAAGAATTATAATTATGGCGGTATATTCGAATATGTAGTGCTGCTACAGTAGTGGTTATGTTAACTTAACAAGTACTCGAGTACAACAAAATTACTAAAATTTTTGGCATAGTCATGAAATACATCTCCGAGTTTCCATGTATTTATTTTGAAATCCGTTAAACACTTCCTTACTTTTTTTAAATGTCATTTTTGACACATGTCATTAAAAATTGAACAAATGTATCAATTCTTTCCCGTATTATCTGTTTAAAACCCGTCCACAACATCCTCATTCACTTTTCAGTTCCTCATTTAATTTTTTCTTATAATTTTATTTAATTTATATATTTTATACGCCTACCTTTTATGCATATTTATAACGTTTCCTTTTCTTCCAAGTCCATTAGATAAACAATTATTGTCTTGATCCACTAATTTAAATAATGTCTTGATCCTATTAGAACTAGCTAACTATGCTACGCGAAATTAAAGAGTTTAGTTATTAAATACACTACCAAATCTGACAACATCGCCGGACGCTCAGAAATCGACAGAATAAAAGCAAAATATACAAGCGGACGCTAGGTAGTGGCAATATAAAAGATTTGCTGTATTTTTTGGACGCTTAGAGGCGGTTTTATGTAAGGACGCTTGGAAATCTGTAGTTTAAAAAGTCAAAAATCAAAATGGTCAAAATTTGAAGTCAAATGACCCCCAACGACATCTACTATTAAAAGATTAAAAATATTCACTCGGTAATATAGTATTTATTTGAAAAACATGGAGTGGACGCTCAGAGGAGGAATCGTGAAAGGACGCCGGGAAGATAGCAAGATGTATATATATATATATATGTATAAGAGAAAAATTATTTTATTTTTAATTTTTGAAATAAAAGTTATTCTTAATAATAAGTTTAAAAATAATATTGACATAAAAAAATTGGATTTGATCTTCAGGGTGTTCAAAAATCACCAAGACTGCAGTTTTAGTGATTTTTTACACTTTTCAAAAATTTCAAACATACGAATTTTTGAATTAAAAAAATAATCCTGGTATAGATTCTTTGGAAAATTGTATGCTCTACAACAATCCGCGACGTAAAAAATTTTATCTCAAACGGTTCAAAAGTTATAGTCTTTTTAATGAAAAAAGATTTTTTTACGTGTTATTTCAATGGAAAACTTAGAATGCTCACCGACACCTTTTAAAATTGAGCAAAAAATTTTGCCTTGCAGGGAAATGTTTTGCTCGGTATGTAGGTTCATTTTAACCCATAAATCCGATAGGTTAGTTTTTTTGGCTCACTCTAATATACACATTTTAGGAATTTCAGCATCATGTCTGTCTCATTCCAAAATCAGTACCTACCTTTATTGACTAGTTAATAAATATACTAAAATAACTTCTATTGACTATAGTTAGTATAAGTATATTTTATTGACTATGTCAATAAAATTTCTTAATTTGGAACAAATGACAGACATAATGCTAAAGACCCTAAAAACGTGTTTATTTTGATTTGTCAATTTAAAAAAAAAGTGACTTCTGCCTTTAGTGAACCATGCCGCAGATATACCTAACTTATATAAATCTATAAATATAACTATAGATTAAGAGAAAATGTTTTTAGTTTAGTTTTTGTTTGTTTTTAAATACCTTTTATAATTGTAGTATATATATACATATATATACCCAGACTGCAATGAATGTTCGAAAATATTCCAGGAATATTCCCTATCGCCTAGGAATAATCCGCTTCATTGGTAATATTCCTGGAATGATCCTCTAAAACTTCCAAGCATCATCTAGGAACATTCCCAGTGAATATTCATTAGTTTAGTTGCAATACCTCTCACCGTTGCTTACGCACGCTTGATAACTATATATACCGATAGGTTAATAATATCAGTTGGAGATGTGCGTCTGTGATGGCACAGCTAAACAATGATTAGAGTGGGACTGATCTACTCAGTAACTCAATAATGCCTATACTTAAGTTAAGTTCCTGGGTATAAGAGGCAATAAGGGCGGGGAATAATCCCCAAATTATACATGTATAATTATATATAATTATATGTGGACCAAAATTCATGTATGGTCATACATGGGCAAACTTCATACATGTTCATATATGTATAATGAATTTATATATGATCATATATAATTTTATTATATATGATCATGTATGAATTTTGGTCCCTATATATTCATATATAATTATATATGATCATACGTGGACCAAAATTCATGTATGGTCATACATGGGCAAAATTCATACATGATCATATATAATGAAATTATATATAATTATATATTATTATATATAATTTTTTTTCCCCGGGTATCTGATTTCTACACGCTGTTAAAAGGAACGTTCAACTTAAAATTCACCCTGTATAATTAATATTGGTTAAAAAAATCTTATTTTATTCTATAATATATAATATCTTATTAAGATTCTTTAAAAAATAATAATAATTAGGTACCTAAATATTTTCTGTTTATAAATATAATTATAACTCTGTTAACAAACGAACTACACATGAGGAGCATCCGTGCAAAACCGGCTATATCCATTTTAATAAAATGTTGGGAAAATGGCAAAAACTCCCCGTTTTCTAGCCTTTACAGATAAAAAATTCATCTTGAGTTTTGTGCATCTTTGTGCATCTTTTTTATCTGTAAAGGCCAGTTTTTGCCATTTTCCCAACATTTTATTAAAATGGATTTAGCCGTTTAACAAATAATGCATAACTTTCAAACCAAATAACCATAGAATTAAAATATAACAAATAACATTGTTAATTTAGAAAATATTAACATTTGGAAAAGCGTTTAATAGATGGCGCTACAACCGAATTTTATTTTTCGCGCATGTTCAAAATGAACGAATTGAATAAACATTTTATTAAAAAAATACTTATACGTTTAGTTTTTTAAGATTTTTAATTTTTTTAGGATTAAATATTTAAAAAATTAATGCGGGGGGGCCCACTCAGAATTTGTTAGGCCACTTTCGCTGCCCCTAACAGAGTGCCGCCTGTGTGCGCCGCACACCTGCGGATCGGGTAGGGACGGCCCTGGCCAATGTCGAATGGTCTTGAAGGACCTCACTAATCAAACGTATCATATCGTTTCAAAAATATCAGGATAATAATAATAATGATGTAAAGATTATAAGTTTGGTATTATTTAGGGCGTTGCCGACGGATTATAAAGTTTATAGGTAAATACTGACGAAAATCCTTAAAATATGTAAGATATTTAAACTCACGTGGGTTTTTATCGAATTTTTGTTTCCAAACTTAACCGAACTATAGATACTTATATTTTACGAGGAACTCAAACTCCGCATTGATTAAATTTACAGTATCTGAGGTTTGGTTTCCTGTAAAATGAATACGTTTTAGCATTGATTCACTTAAGATAATATTATTATTTTTAAATATGTTAATGTATACTTATTTATAGACCATAAATTGTATGCCGTTGTAATTATATTAAATGTAAATATTTGATAATCATAAATAAAGAATTGGCATTTAAATTATGTTCTAAGAAATAAAATCTTTGATTTTTCAGCTTTTTTTACGATTTATTCAAATAAATTCTTATTTTTGACAAATAACTTAGTTAATTTTTAAATTATTGGCCCATAAAAGTATTTAATTTTTTATAAATTTTAATAATTTCTTGTAAAAATATACATTTTTTAAATCATTTTTTGTAACATACATTAAACGCCAATTAAATGCCAATGGTGTTGACATTAGCCTCGTAAACTTTTTTTCTTAAAACGTGGCAACACTGAGGTGGATGGATCTGGCTCAGTTTGTAGGTGCGATTTGGCGTCTATTTTTCCGAAGATTGATCTCGTCAAGTTGACAGTTTACCAGCGCTGACAGTGTCAATTGACAAGATCAGTGCTTGGAAAAATAGACGCCAAATCGTACCTTTTATCCGATCATGGAAACATTTTTACTTATTGCTCATCTTACCCATCGACTTCAGTGTAACCACGTTTTAAAAAATATCAGTTTACGAACTTAACTATTGTCCACACCTCGTACATGTTCGGGGAATAGGGAAGAAAAAAAACTACAGCTGTTCGAGCGCAAATTTTTAAATGATTAGAAATACATTTTTGTAAACCTAAATGTTAAGTGTTAAATACGCCACATAATTATTTGATATGATTTGATTGGTCGGTACACACTTTTATATATGCTTTATCTACATAAAAAATACCAGTAAGTCTAATCTTTCAGTAATAACCCAAGCATTATTCATAAAATTGAAATGATGTTAAATAAAATATATTGTTCTTATATAGCAATACTTGCTATTATTAATTTTTTCATTCACCTATTTCAGTTTTAAAAATATAAATTTATTATAATTAAAATTGCTAGGCCAAAGAGTTTTATGAATTGTTTTTCCAAATACTCACTTATAATTGCATTTTATTTCTTGAAGTTTTGATACTATTCGCGCGCCAATCTTGAGTTATTGTGCCTTTATAGATTACATACATAAAAGTTTGTAATCAATAAGGCACAATAACTGCTTTTTAAGAGAAGCAAAGCAGTTGGCTTGAAAATTTTGAAATTTAGAACAGCACTCAAACATTTATTTCTCCAACATCACTTTTCCTAGTTGTTAATTGTTAAAATCTGAGATACTAATTTACAAAAATACCAAAATTGCGAGCAGACAATGTTAATAGTTTAATACATGAAAAAATTGCTCTATTTGACTTATTGTTAGCTAAGTAAACAAATTTCCAGTACTGTCAGTACAACAAAAATGTCCTCCTGTAAAAGAGACATTTTGATTGACTAAATGATAAACGTAAGATGGTAAGTTTGGAGATAAATAACCCAACTTCTCTTTAAAAATGTATTAGTCAAAAATGAAAAAAATTATGAAAGTAGAGCAGTTTTTGAGATATAATCAATTCAATATTTTATGGAAAATTGACTATATCTCAAAAATTGTTGTACTTTTCCAACTTTTGACGACATGTTTGGATATAGGAATTTACCGTTAAATGTACGAAATACAAATTGCTGTTGACGAGAATTATTAGTGGCTGCTTTTTCACTAGTGAAAAAGCAGCCACTAATAATAGTTATGACAATTAGTCCTTTTGACTAATTAATTTTTAGTATACTTAAGTCAAATGGAAAGGTAATCAAAAAGAGTAAGAAACTCATCCAAAAAAGAAATGTTACGAAAAAACTTGTAGGTACTTGTCAGTTAGATAGTAGAGAGTCAAACCGATATTGTCAAAAGTTAAAATAAAGCACCGTTGTTGCACTTGTGACTCAAGCTAACCGCACAAATACATATTGTTAATCGGAGTAATAATATTATTGATCGGAGTAAATTGAGGCGAGAACGACGAAGGGCTCGATGCAAAATTACATTGAAAGCAAATTAATTAAAGTTTGCTTTTTGTTGGGATAAGAAACGGACTAGGAAATAAATAGTTTATTGCTTACGCAATTATAATTGAAGAGCATGTTGTGTGGCTTAGTCGGTCAACTTTCATACATATCCTAAAGATAACTTTAACGCCTAAAATCTGAAAGGTCATAAAATGAAAATAGTTGGTGTTCCATATCATGTCCAATTATTGAAGCATGTTAAAATCGCTACTTATAAGCATCTTTATCAGTTTGTGAAAAAGGTAGATATGGCACTATACGGACTCGAATAAAAGATCTTTCGCGCTTTAAATTAAAATGTAAATTTTTTACATCCACTTGAGGTCCTCAAGACAGTTTATCGGATCCCTGATTTTTTTGTTGTTTTTTTAATAATATTTGGCAACTATTCGAAGGTCAGAAAAAAATATGTTTGCCCTTTTTATATCACAAACACCCTTCTTTTACTCCAATCGTTGCAACTGAAAAAATCTAAATTAGCAGAAATTGCACAGAATAAACCTAACAAAACATGGTTGAATCATATCGGGTGCAATACATAACCAGGTAAATCAGGTCATCATTTTTTTTACTCACGATCAAACCAAACGGCCGTCATTGAAATTTTGGAATACAGGCTAATGCCTTATTATAGTTCTCCAAGTGATATAGTAAATGGCTTTGCCAATTCTTTTGAGTCAGTTTATTCGCATAATAGTTCCGATAATCAAAACGAAAGTGCAGAAAGATTTCCAATAAATTAACATCAGGGCATGACCTTATACCCAGTTTTCTTATCCTCTTTAACAATATCATTAAGTCATCCCTATTTCCAAAAGCATGGAAATTAGCTAAGGTTTGCCCTATACTTAAGTCTGGAGATTCAGGTAACTTATTAAACTATCGTCCTATTTCTATTTTAGGCAATTTTTCAAAGGCCTTTCAACTATACGTGCATGCCAATATTTATCATCAAATTAAACCCTATATTTCTTTGTCTCAACATAGCTTTATGTCAAAAAGATCCACCATATCCAATCTTTCTATAGTAAGTCAATTTATTTCTGATTCGTTTGATAAAAGAAGTCAGGTTGATGTGGTCTATACCTATTTTTCAAAGGCCTTCGACAAAGTAGAACACAGAATCTTGCTGCGGAAGTTGGATATGTACGGTTTTAGCGAGACCTTGGTTAAATTATTTGGATCCTATTTGGAAAATCGACAACAATTTGTATATTATAATGGTTTTTGTTCCAATAATTATATAGCTTCATCGGGCGTGCCTCAAGGATCTAACGTGGGGCCTCTACTTTTTAATATATTTATTAATGATTTACCTAAAGGACTTGCTTGTGAAAATCTCTTATTTGCAGATGACCTAAAAATTAACTCAGTAATAAAGTCTGTAGAAGACTGTTTAATACTTCAAAATCAAGTAGACCTTGTGGGTAAATGGTGTTTGCGCAATAAGCTAAAAATGAATGTTGAAAAGTGTAAAGTTTGTTCTTTTTCACTTAAATCTAACCCCATTGCTCACAACTACTTGTTTGATGGATCCAGTCTTTCTCGCGTTGTTTCTACAAAAGATCTAGGTATTGTTTTTGACCATAAACTCTCGTTTGTAAATCATATAGATAACATATGTAAGGGAGCATTAAAATTACTTGGCTTTATCATACGTAATTGCGGCTATACAGAAGCCCTTAAGTCTTTGTACTTCTCCTTAGTACGCTCAAAATTGGAGTATGGTTCTCTTATATTTTACCCCACTTACAATAATCATATCAACAAAATTGAAAGAGTACAAGGGGAATTGAACATGAACTTTTTTTAACAGAATTTAACATCATGTCTTTAAATAATAGGAGATTTTTAACAAGTCAGGTTTTTCTTTTTAAAATATTACATAATTTAGTTGACTCTTCGTTATTACTTTCCAAACTTAAGTTTTTAGTATTTACCACGTTTAAATTCTAGACAAAATATTATGTTTTATTGTGGTAATGTTTCGTTAAAATCACCTATTTATGTTATATCTTCAAATTATAATAAAATATGTAACATAAATATTTGTTCACTTAAAGAGTTGATTTCATGCATTTTTTTATATTTCATCTAGTTTACCTATTATTGTTTTTTTTAATATATTTACATTTTGTTACTTAAAATGAATTGTAATTCTTGTCCTGTAATTGGATTCTCTGTTGGGCAAATAAATACATTATTATTATTATTATATAACTAAATATTATTTAGTAAATAATATACTGTAATTATAATAATTTATAATTGAATTTGGAAGGGTGGTTCAAGTCTACCACCTGGCCAAGTCTTCCGGATTCCTCCTACTCTAAGGGGCATGGGTATCTGGCATACATCAATATGTATATCTGATTATCATGTTTAATGTTCCATTTAAATCCTACCCGGTTTTAATATTAATTATCGCTTGTTATCACATTGAGTCGAAGTGCTCCTAGTAAATTAGTGTAGCGTTAAACTGTAGAAATGAATGACTTTAGTGAAAAAATACACGGGTATGTACAGATTTATTTTTATTTTTTTAAATATCCAGCATGAAATACAGTTTTGGTAAAATATTAGACATAAAACTTTTTGTTTACATTTTTTTTTATCATTAGGTACTGCTAATTTTAATAATCATTGGATCGTGTATGTTTCTAGGGAAATTTAAAACCTTTTTGTTTAATTAAATTAAATCAATAGTTTTAATCAAGTTATCTGTAAAATGATATTTTGTGTTACCCTTGTTCGATTAAAGTAAATACATATCTACATAAAATCAATATTTAGGTAAATTCTTTATTTATCTGAAACAAAAACTATTAGTTACCATTATATATAATACAATATATACTTGCCTATTAAAAGCGAATGATTTTAAAAAGGCTGTAAAAAGACAATGAATTTTAAATAATTAACGTTTAACGTAACACATTGTTGTTGTTATGCAACCCAGGAGTAACATTGCGATGTAACAATGTTACTAAAAAGCAACGTAAGAGTTTAAAATTAAGCAATAAGCAATATAACAACAACCTAACGTTGTGATACTATTGTAATATAACAAAATAACCAACAAGCATTGTAACAACATTATAATATCGTGATACTATTGTAATCTAACATAATTTTTAGTAAAATAACAATGCATCAACAATTGTAAAATTACCATACTGTAACATAATTAACGGTCGATATATTTAACATAACCATGTTGCATTCGAGCAACGTTATCGTTGTGTTACAAATCTTTCGTAACATTGTGATACTATTGTAATATAACAAAATTACCAATAAGCAGTGTAACAATTTGTTACACTGCTTACTAACAACATTGTAATATTGTGATACTATGGTAATATAACAAAATTACGAATCCAATAACAATGTAACAATTGTTAACGTAACATTGTGATACAATATATTGTAATTTTATAAAATTACCATACTGTAACATAATTACCGGTCGATATATTTAACATAACAATGTTGCATTCGAGCAACGTCAAAGTTGTGTTACAAATATTTCGTTTTGTTACATTACAAAGATGTGTTTTGCAATATAACGTCAACATTGCAGAAACGAATCCCAGTTACATTTATAACAACTAATGTTAATCAGTAACGTTACTATGTAACGTGATTGAAAAGTTTGTTATATAACATAAATATATTTATTTAAAGTAATACTAGTTTATGTAACTTGGAGTAACGTAACACGATTGACAAGTTTTTTTATGTAACATGATTATAATTGTTGTTCGTTTGCATAATAAAAGAGTGCAATTTGATACAATTTTTTTTGCAAGTGCATCCATCTCGCTCGTGTTACTGACCTTTGTGAGGTATATAAACGAAGGTCAGGGCACCATTATTCAAACAAAGGAGATAATATAGTATGCATCATAACGATAATGTAAAATTGACATAAAAAAGGTATATTAGCTGAATGTCAATGTGATGTTATAATGTTACAATAATATGACAGTGTTTAGTAGGTAACAATTATTACATTAATGTGACATTAATATTTTAATGCATTTAAGTAAAGACAACCTAACAGATAATATTATGAAACAATGCAGGAAATAAAATCCAATTTGAAACCATCAGGTTATATAACTGCAATGTAACACAACATTGTTGCATAACAAATTGGTTAATGTTACGTTTTTGTGGTGAGCTCAAAGTTTACAATTGAGCGAAGCCAAATGGCATGCACAATTTTATTTATTAAACGATACATAAAACGTACAATTAAAATAATAATTATTAAAAGTAGAGAATGAGGTTAGGTAGATCTAACAATTATGGTGTTAGAGTGTTGACTAGAGTTTTAAAATTTCCGGAAAAAAAAGGAAAAATTAGGAAAATTTCACAATTTTAACAGATATCCGTATGCTGATACCTCATTTGATTAAATATTTATTTAAAAACGAGTGGGCCACCTCAAGATGTTGAGTAAAAATTAGATGTAGACGAATAAATAAATATTTGTTTCAAAAAACGAAAATTCTCGATATTTTCTGAACACACCTCGTAGACACTTCCTACATTCACATGACATTTGATTTGATCATTAAATGACATTTGTTTTAATCATATATTATATCACGAGAACTATGAATTTAATCGGGTAAACCCTAGACCTAGGGGGTAAACTAGGCTCAGTAGTTTTTTGTTAGGTTTTTGTTGGAAAATGTTGAATGCAAAATAATTTAATAAAATCACGAGACCGCGTAGCGGTCGAGGGGTTTTATTTTTAATTATTTTGCATGAAACTATTTTCCAAAAAGAAAAATCAAATAAAAAACTTACTGAGCATAGTTTGACAGATTAAATTTATAGGTTGAGTGATACGTCTAGATTATTTCTCGAATTAAAGGAAACTATTTGACCATTCATAAAATCTGACGTATGTGTCAAAGTTTATAAATATTTTTTTAAAAAAATTCCATTAATTTAAGGTATGTAGGTAATAAGTAATAATTGATATTTCGTAAACTAGATAACTTATTTTTTATTGTTTTTTAAAAAATGTTTGTTAAAACTTGTCAATAACACCATAAAATCGTAAACAAAAATCCAATATGGAGGCTAAAATTTAATCGCTGTTAAAAAGGTCTAGTGATTTAATCGCTTATTTAAACGAAATTTATTCGAAAATTCAAGGCTTTTGATTGGTTCATATTATATTGAGGGAAATAATCCTATATTATATCACGAGAACTATGAATTTAATCGGTTAAACTAGGCTCAGTAGTTTTTTGTTTGGTTTTTGTTGGAAAATGTTGAATGCAAAATAATTAAATAAAATCACGAGACCGCGTAGCGGTCGAGGGGTTTTATTTTTAATTATTTTGCATGAAACTATTTTCCAAAAAGAAAAATCAAATAAAAAACTTACTGAGCATATATGCTATAGTTTGACATATTAAATTTCTAGGTTGAGTGATATACCTACGTCTATATTATTTCTCGAATTAAAGGAAACTATTTGACAATTCATAAAATCTGACGTATGTGTCAAAATTTATAAATATTTTTTTAAAGAAAATTCCATTAATTTAAGGTAGGTATGTAATAAGTAATAATTGATATTTCGTAAACTAGATAACTTATTTTTTATTGTTTTTTGAAAAATGTTTGTTAAAACTTGTAAATAATACCATGAAATCGTAAACAAAAATCCAATATGGAGGCTAAAATTTAATCGGTGTTAAAAAGTTCTATAGAACTAGCTATATACTATATATATATATATATACTATAGTGATTTAATCGCCTATTTAAACGAAATATATTCTAAAATTCAAGGCTTTTGATTGGTTCATATTATATTGAGGGAAATAATCATCAATATTAATTATTGGAATTATTAAATGTGATTTCGGATAAAATTTAATATGCACCTCGGCATTAAAGATCTCACGTGGTTATTTGCCTCGGCTTTCGCCTCGGCAAATAATTTACACATTTGTGATAAAAAATACGACTTTCTTGCCTTGATACATATAGTAAATTTAAAAGTAAACTACGTACACGTCATCAATCAGCTGATCGGGCACGGTTGTCAATGTGATGCTAAAATCCTTGCATCAAGGGAAAGTGGTAGTGCAACTACAGGGCGATAGATGGCGTTTACATGAATAATACCAAAATGTCAAAAGTCTGAGTTCTTATAACCTATATGATGCACCGCCAAAAGTATGTTTTTAGCCATTTTTAAACACATTTTCTGATATAAAACCCAAAAATTTTGCCATCTAAAGTCAGTCTCTGGTATATATATTATTATTTTATGTATCCAACATATATTTTGTTAAATATTCTAATATATAATTAATAATAATCCTATTTACCTCTCTAACAGCTGTTAAAGGTGACAAAGGTCCATTATTATCCCGTTCTGCCTCAAAATAGCGTATTACGGATGACTCTTGACTCCGACTATTTAAATGCTTCGGCATTTTAAATATAGGAAACACAAAAAAACGATATATAACAAACACAAAAACGGCAATGAAAACTTAAACGATATAAAATAACACAAACAACAAACAAAATAAACGAAATAATACACGAATTAAACGAAATATTCAAAAACACAACTGACAGCTTCGAAATTCTAAAATGTCAAATTCTTTTTTATGTGTCATTTATGAAATATTTGAATGTAAATATGACAACATCTTAATTGTTGCCAACTGAAGCTGTTTAAAATGCATTCAAATATTCAATTACAGACTTCGATTTAGTCATTTAGTGTTGGTACCAATGCGTAAAATTTTTGTTTTATTGATGACGTGTACGTAGTTTACTTTTAAATTTACTATAAATAACCATTATAAAATTAATTAACAAAGCTAAATTTTTGGACTTGAACTGTTCTTAATTTCACCGATTCAATTATACAGGAATTTTATATTAAATATTTAAATTAAGTTCTATTTTGTTTAACTTTAAACCAATTTTTTTACGTTGGTAATGTAATTTAGCGTAGTGCTATTGTATAATTTAATACAAATAATCTATAGATTCGAGTTATTAGTAAACTTATTATATACCTACGTTACCCTTGTTAAAATAGAATAATATGTTAGGTAGATATACAGTAAAAATCGATGAGCAGGGTGAATAGTGACAAAGTGGTGTCAAACGGTGGGCATTTTTCCAATGGTCTTTCCCGTAGCCATGAGTAGGAATAGCTACGCAACCCTGACTTGATAAAACTGGAAAAATCTCGCGAAAATTATCCCCTCCTAAAATGTACGTGTTCAATAACGAGGAGGGGTCCCAAAGGCGCGCTATTTATACATTTTCCATTTCCTCAGAATCTCGCTGCACTGGAAATATAATTTTTTGAGTTAAAACTTTTATTTTAAGTTTACGAGTCATCGCGCGCTCGCGATCGTCACTGAAACTATTTTTTTTTCGTCGAAACCCGAAACGGCCCTAAAATTAATGTGCTAGTGAACGCTCGTCTCAATTAACAAATTCTTAAAAAAATATTCGTGATGGCTTACACAATTTTATTGTGACCAAACATTTACGTTTTTAATTAACAGTTTTTTGTGCTAATTGTGTAGTGTGTTGCCCTTTTCACCAAAATGCCTTTGTTTAAAAAGAACGTGGAGCGAAAAAAGTCTCTGTCGAGAAAGGATATCTCATTAGCTCGCCTAGAAAATTTTAGGAAAGAAGTTATCGCAGATTTTCATACAATTCCTTTAAGTAAGTGCTTTACTATAATAATTAATCTTAGGTTTTAACCTAATTTAAAAAATATAAAGTATATGTAATTATAAACAATAATTATAATAATTAAAAGATTAACAGGCATGTTGGCATTCATTAAAAAATGTTTTGTTATACGTATCATAACAAATAATATTAAATTAAATTACAATTTACCTTCGTCTACAAACGTCTTATCTAAGAAAACATTTCATCACAATAACTGGTTACTTTAATAGAATATTATGTATTAAGTTTTATACACGCCATTTTAGTTACAAGTTTTATTAGGCACGAGAGAAGCTTGCGAGCGAGTGTTTAATAAAACCGAGTGTCTGGAGAAGTTTATAAAAAGTTTATTTTTTAAAAATTTGACATCATTCAACGGATTTAATCTCACTTTTTCACGCTGTGGCTAACTTTATCCCGTGACTAAAATGCCATAAAGTCTCAACTTATTAATGGGAAAGTAGATAAATATTTTTTTAGGTTTTTAAGAAAAGGAAAATCCACATAGCCCATAAGCCTTTACACAAAGTAAACTCGATGTTCTGATAACATTTAAAAAATAAAAGTTAAAATTTGTTAATAATAACCAAAGAAGCGAATTAACCTTAAGTATGCCTGGTTAATTCATATAGGTACCTAGATAATAATGTATATTACTATAACGTTAAATTAAGAAATACCTAATTAACATTATTTTCTAATAAAAAGGGAATTATAATATGGTTAAATTAAAGTAAATTTAACAATAAAACATAAGTTTATAAAACAAATTGCATACCTTACTTTATCAATGACAAGTTTGTTTACGCAAACTAGTAATTTTTCAGAATTTATTTAATTTTATTTGAAATTTTATCTGACATCTGATAACTTTTAAGTGGTTATAACCTCACTTTTTACCAATCTGAAATCTGTTAGACGGGTTAAACCTTACATTTTTCCAATTTAATGCACTATTGCATTAAATACCTAACTTTATCTACGACTGCTACAACCTAAATTGTTAAAAGAGTACCTATAGGTACTGTCAACCTTACAAGCCAGTAGATCATTTTGCAAACTTTTATGTTACGATGGTAGTGCATAATTATATATTAGGTTACATAATATATGTAATATTAAGTAAATTGGTGAGAACTGTCAATGTCAAATTAAAAAAAATAAAAATAGGTACCTACGAGTGGTTTCTTAATGAAAAGGTTTAAAATGAATGCAGTCGTGGATAAACAAGGTACATTAATTACGCGACGCGGGTTAGTGTTAAACCCCGCCATCTCTGATAATCTCAGTAATATAAAATACTTTGAATACTGTGAATAAAATTGATCTCGTTTTCCAAGGTTACTGTCAAATTTCTCCACGGTAGTATTTATCATTACTATTAAGACCTTTTAAATACACATTGACAAGTTGGGGCTTTATAGCGTTTTAGTCATGGGCTGAAGTTAGTGCCTTTCTTGTAAAATAATACTAAATGTAAAAATTATTTTATTATCTCAATACAAAAACACAACAGTATTAAATAGTTTCTTAACGCCAATATTTGAAAATTTTATACGAACATTGTATTGACCTTTTAATTTCGCCGGCAGTAGATACCTAGACTAGATTTAACTTAATTTCGGGTGAAGACTCCATCGTGGAGTAAAACATTTTTAAAGTAAAACACTGTTTTTGGTACATTTTCAAAGGATACATTTCGATTTACACATACAAATTTGACATTTTTACCGGTAATATAGATTCCCATTCTTACGGTTACTCTATTTTTGTATAGATGTCTCTATAAAAATATTTAAATTAAATATAATTATTTTTGAGTAGAAAAAGTATGATATGCAACTCGTTTATAAACTTTTTTAGACACCCATTTAATTAAGCACTCGCTCGCAAGCTCGCTCGTGCCTAAATTAAATTCGTGACTAAAATGGCGTTTATCAAACTTGATTTATAAAATGTCTACTATAAAAGTTAGTTGACACTGACATTTGTCATCGAATCAGTATTCATGGTAATTACACAAAATTGTACTTAATTCTTTAGAAAAGTTGGTAAGCCTCTTGAGAAATGGCCATTTAATCCACGTGGAGTACTCGCTATCTGCTCGTCTCGCAATATTTTATCCTTATGGAAATGACCAACTTTGTCAATCGTTAAACAATATACTAAAATTACACTAGTAAAGGAGTAGATTAAACAATTTCCAATGTGTATACTTGTTACAAGTAACTTTTATTTTAAGTTTCAATAAAACCTTCAGCATCTTTTAAATTTAAAAATAAAAGGTTATTGCTGATATTATTAAAAATAGTTAAATAAAAATAGTGCCTAGGTATATTATAAATAATTATTAAGGTTGTGGATTATAATATAATAGCACAAGGGCAAATAAATGGCAAGGCGCGGAGCTTTGGGGGATATACGCTCCCAAAGTTCCGCGCCTTTATTATTATTTAATAACTAATTATTCCGAAAGTGTTAATTATTTCTTTTTCTACTCCTATTGTATAATTTTTTTCTGACAAAATAATAAGGATTAAAGAAGGAATTAAAAAGTGAGGTTAGATCATTTAGATGTTAGATTTTATTTAGTATACCAGGGGCGACTATAATATAGATTTTATTTATTATACCAGGGGAAATTATAAATCACAGTAAAAAATAAAATCGGCCAATTACTAATGCCTGACAACGGGGAAAACGAGTTTATTATTCCCGTTGTGGTTATAATGGTTATTATTATATATATGAAAAAAAGAAATAATATCAATATTATGAAATAGGAGTAGAACAAATAATTTATTTTACAGATACAACTTTATTTTACAAGCAGTTAACTTCCAACCAGAGATATATTTATATCTATATCTCTGCTTCAAACAGACGTCTGTTTGAAGCAGAGATATAGATATAGATATATCTCTGGTTGGAAGTTAACTGCTTGTATTTTTGCCACAAAATACAATAATGTTAGCTAATAAGACTACACATTGGAAATACTTATATTTATAATATTTCCTACCTATATTTTATAATCTTCGGAAATTTTCACAGCAAGTCTTCAGTAAACAATAGCATTTTTTTTATAAAAGAAGTAAAGATTAGTAATGGATTTACTGTTATTAATTCTCTTGATTCTTTAAAATGTTTGCATACCACCAAAATATTCATGTATTTTTCAATGTTACGTAATAACTCTCTAAAAATGAATTAGTCAAAAATGACTAATTTAATAGTTATTAGTGGCTGCTTTTTCACTTGTACCATGGTTAACCATGGAAGACCATGGTATTCCAAAATTTAACAGCCATTTCTTATGTAAAATTGTCCCCTAATTCCGAAAATACCGTCAAAAAATTATGAAAGTGGAGCAGTTTTTATGATAAAGTCAATTCCATATTAAATAGAAAATTATCTATATCTCAAAAACTGTTCTACTTTTTTTAACTTTTGACGACATTTTCGGATTCAGGGGACAATTTTAAATAATAATTGGCTGTTACATTTTGGGATACCATGGTATTCCATGGTTAACCATGGTACAAGTGAAAAAGCAGCCACTAATAACTATTTTTTGACTAATTCATTTTTAGAGAGTTATTATGTTATTACGCAAAAAATACTTAGATTAGTATTACTATTAAATTAGTCATTTTTGACTAATTCATTTTTAGAGAGAAGATATTATGCATGAATTAGAAATGGTCCTTAACGGAGATTTATTTAATTACCGCATGTATTATAACATTACTGTAATGTCATGATTTTTTTCTCGAATGTAGAAGTGACATATACATTTTTGTTTATATTTACAACAAAGTATATCAATAATAAACGATAAAAGACCACTCTCTAAAAATGAATTAGTCAAAAATAACTAATTTAATAGTTATTAGTGGCTGCTTTTTCACTTGTACCATGGTTAACCATGGAATAGCATGGTATCCAAAAATTTAACAACCAATTCTTATGTAAAATTGTCCCCTGAATCCGAAAATACCGTCAAAATTATGAGTGGGGCAGTTTTTGAGATATACTTAGTCAACTCCATATTAAATGGAAAATTGACTATATCTCAAAAACTGTTCTACTATTTTCGGATTCAGGGGACAATTTTAAATAGGAATTGGCTTTTAAATTTTGGCATACCATCGTATTCCATGGTTAACCATGGTACAAGTAAAAAAGCAGCCACTAATAACTATTAAATTAGCCATTTTTGACTAATTCAATTTTAGAGAGCATGTAGTCTTATAAACAATAATAATTTTTTACTCGGAAACTAGACCGTCAATCTTTCTACAACTTTGTAAATGTCTTTTAAGTAGATTCTACTACAACCTACAGATTTTGTTCAACATTTTCTCATGGTAACTAATATCCTGCCCGAACCTCCTTAATTAATTAGGTAATTTGCCTTTTCTGCAACAATGGTCCGCGACGCGGCTGTCGACAGAATAGCTGTCCGCGGAGCGAAGCCCAAATGTTAAAAGCTAGTTTTCATAAATTTAAATTGATAATATTAAAAATTAAATATATTACTTTAAACAAAAAAAACAGAAATTATTAAATAAATTGTAAAAAATATATAATACCAAAAAAGTATTCTCTCTGAAGATGAATTAGCCAAAAATGAGTAATTACTACAGTTATTAGTGGCTGCTTTTTCACTTATATCATGGTATACCATGGGATAGCATGGTATCCCCGATATAATAGCCAATTCTTATGTAATATTTTCCCCTGAATCCGAAAGTACTGTCAAAAGTTATAAAAGTAGAGCAGTTTTTGAGATATAGTCAATTCCATATTATATGGAAAATTGACTATATCTATATTACTTTTATAACATTTGATGAAAATTTTACATAAGAACTGGCTATTATATTGGGGATCCCATGGTATAAGTGAAGAAGCGGCCACTAACTGTAGTAATTAGTCATTTTTGACTAATTCATTTTTAGAGAGTACCTTTATAGGTGTATCTA